CTATTTATGTTGGACTTCCTTTTACTGCCTGCCTTTTGAAAGAGAAATAAAGACTTTTCGTTAATGGAAAAGCTGTGCGAGTGATCTGTGAGCATCCCAACATTACAAAAAGACTCTGAGTGGCCAGATTATTATGACCACCTGACGTTTGTAGGCAAATTAGCTATAATTAGCTATAATTTGGCGCTGAAGTTGCTAGAAGGCCAGACCATTATAAATAGGGAAGCAGGTTGTTTACCACGACAGTAGGAGTGATTTTTTTCTGAAGATATGGGTAAACAACGCGATTTAACAGCCTTTGAACGTGGGATGATTGTTGGCGCTCGGAGCCATGGAGCGAGTATCAGCAAAACAGCAGAATTTGTTAAATGTTCAAGAGCAGCTGTTGTTAAAGTGTTTAAAGACTGGACTGTCAGCCGAAAATCTGGGTCTGAACGTGCGAATTGTGGCCGTCAGCGACTAGTCAATGTTAGGGCAGAACGGAGAGTGGCAAGACTGGTACAAGACAACAGAAGGGCAACAGTGCAGTGATTTCCGATTTGCATGACAAAAAATAAATAAAACAAGAAAATTATATTTTAGTACGCTGTAATAAAGAAATGCAATGAAGAAAACCCCTGTGCATTGCCTTCAAAGCAAAACTACAGTTTCTTTTTCTATGGCCGCGCACCGGCGCACCTCTGCTTCTGGCTGGTGACAGAAAGTAGACACTCCTACCTCTTCTGATGCACTTGGACCAGCCCACACTGCCGCCAACATCACAACCTTCTTCCTTTCTGCACCGCTAAGTTCCATGCTGCAGGATGGGGGCGCCGTCATCCCTGCTGGTTTTGGATGCAGATCCACATGGGCACTCAGGTGGGTGAGAGCGGGGGGCAGAGGCCGAGGAGAATCTATCACAGGGATCTTCAGCATGCCAGTCTCCAGGAACCTCTTCCACTGGTGCTCTGGGCTTTCTCCAAGACTCTCCCGATCAGTGTCTACATGAAAAACCACAAGCCCAGCCAGCCAAGTATTATAGCTCTATGTATTATAGCCAGAGCTTGCTGGTGCAGTGCTCAGCCAACTGGACACTGATCCAGGAGAAATCCTGCCAGCAATCCTGAGAAAATTCCAGAAGAGAGGATTTTCCCGGCCAAAGTTCCTCACGAGGCTGCAGAGTCTTCTTAAAGGGACAACAACCCCGTAATTGAAATGAACAAAACAGACAAAAAACTCACCAGAACAGTACTGTGGGTCATTGCACTCCCATGGAAGCAGGCCCCTTTATACAAGTTGCCCTCAGTGATGTCACTGGTTGCCAGAAGCTCAGTAGGATGCCAGCAAGGGCACCCCAGGCTTCCAAGAGCTGGGGGTGGAGAGATGTGTTTGGCCTTTACACATCTCCCCGCCGCTCTTTTAGAAGCCTAGGATTCTGGCCAGAAAGGGAGTGGCAGGCACACTGCAAACATTGCCCCTCTGCCTGCTGCCCCCCATGTGACCCAAAGAGATGCTGGCTGAGGCAATAGCCTCAGGCTGCCTCATTGTAGGGATAGCTCTGTCTATATTCCTGCATGTTTGCATTCAAGTATTGGACTATGTTATATGCTAACTATGCTTAAAGGAGAATTATGAGGCGAGTGATTTTCACTCAGCCTCATAATCTGAGCCGACCTGTGACAATGAAACTGTCACAGGTCGGCTCAGTAGATCGGGAAGTGAGTGCACTTCTCGATCTATCCGTGCAGAGAGCCGTGACTGTCACTCACGGCTTCCTGCAGGGATCCCCCCCTCCCCTGTCCGATCCTCCAGCGCTGACTGGCGGAACGGACAGGGGAGGGGGCGGGTACAGCTGGCTCTGCCTCTAGATAGGCAGAGCCAGCTGTCACTCACGCAGCTGTTGGATCCAGACAGAATTGCCGGGATCCATTCCGGCTGCGGTGTCTCAGTATACTGTGAGCTGTAGCTCGCGGTATACTGGGCTTTGGGTGATGGGAGGACGCAAGTTTGTGTCCTAGGGGGCACCTAGATTCAGATAAGCCCCCCTGCCCACCGACCCCCACAACCACCAGACCAGGGTTGTGGGGAGGAGGCCCTTGTTTTCATCAACATGGGGACGAGCTGCTTTGCTAGGGGGTCCTCCCTGGCAAAGCACCATCCACATGTTGAGGGCATGTGGCCTGATATGATGCAGGGGGGATGCACAGGGGGGCCCCCTTTCCTGCTCTGCCAGGCTGCTGTTCGGATCAAGGGTCTAGCAGGACCTTTTTTGTGGCATTGGGGACCCCCTAAAATTCCTATCAGACCTAAGGGGTCTGGTTTGAATTGGAGATGGAACTCCACGCTGTTCGTTTTTTGTTTTTTTTAATGGTTACCAACATAATTTCATTCAGAATGACATTCAGAAACAATTTCACATGCGTCCGAAAATTTTGATGTAAAAAAATTGGATATATTCGGATTCGTTATTTCTTTAATTCGGAAATTCGGATGCATCCCAATGTCTGAATATGATAATATTCATTTGAATTTCAATTCGGAACTAAATGAATCGCACATGTCTAACTTGAAATAATTTACCCATGCAGCAATCAAACCTCTGCTGAAAACTGCAGTCAACAGACTGATAACTTCAGTAGCTAAGCACATATTCAACTTTAAAAAACCTATGTACTATGACACAGTAATTTACTTATTTCAATCTTAGCATCTGCTCAGTGACTCTTTCATGTTCTAATTATTATAAACTGGTAAAAGATACAATCTGTTTAGCTACTATGCATTAGTGCACATCACAGCTCTTTGTTTTACATTATTAAACAGCCATTAGGATAGTTTTATATATATAAGCGAGTAGAATGTCTTAACCATTAAATTAATTTGCCCTTAATTTTATATCAGTGTTGAGTTTAAAGAAAGGATAATTTACTTGGTTGTAAGCTTATTTTGACACTTTCATGATTGATCACTTTATGTAAGGACAGTGAAGTGCATGGAACAAAGGGTTAAGTTACAAAGCCTGAAATACTAGATGCGTGTTACTCTGATGAAAGGAATACGTTCATGGGTCTATTTTAGCTCAGGATTCCCCTTGTTCGATATTGCAAACAGTATGTGTGCACAGTCACTGTTACAGAGCTTTTCATGGTTGACTGGTAACAACATAGTTGAGGACTGCCATTATTTTTTTTTTTATTTGGACTAACAGTCACATTTTCAGCATTTTCAGTTCCTAAACAAATTCCATTCTAGCCATTATTTTGTTTACAAGTCCAAGTTAGTTAAAATAAATAGGAGCGCACTAATCTGGCTAATAATATGTTTTTTTTACAAAGCTAGGCGAGCGTTTAACCATATAGGTGGATTCTCTTCTGACCATTATTATGTATAAGACCAAAGAATATTCAAAAAGTGCATCTCCTGCCAATTATTAGTTTTACAAGGCTAGTGTGAGCTGGATCTCTGTTAAAACCAGATGACCACCACTGCAAACCACTACACCTAACTTTTGAGCTGTGTTCTTTGATACAAACACAGTTAACTCATTAAAGATTGGTTTCCTGAGCATCAGGATGCCGTCAAAATATTTTATCTTTAGTCTTTCTGACCTACCTACTTAGCAGTTTTGAAGATCCTTGCATATTTATTCCGCAAGGTATATTTACATTTCCTTCATCCCTTAAAGAAGTGGAGTCTGTGCTTTTTGGAGATCACTGAAATACCTTAGTTAAACAGCTTTAATTTTTACAGAAATGCTCTACAGTGGCTGGGTTCACAAAACATCTATAGGCCACAGCAGACTTTACCTGCTTTCAAATTCTGATTTAAGAGTGATATGCTTCTTCTCCAGCTCCTCCACCTCTGATGTCTTTTACTTGTCAAGCTGAGCCAGTTCCTACAACCTGGCTACAGCTTTACCATCATCCCCACCTGACTGCGCGTCAGACATGTAAATAGTTTTGCTATAAAAGACAATATAAGCTGTGTCTCAAAGTTTCATTTTTTTTAGCCTCGTGCCCCACCAACAGTCAAAATTGCTTTTTTTCTCTCCTTCTTCAGACTCACCCTCATCATATAGCAATCATTGTTAACAAACTTTAACTAAGATTCCCAAAACTGTTTGAGAACCAAACCCTTGGTTCTCAACAAGATTGGTAAAACAAGCTTGTTGACATCATTCAGATATTCCCACATGACTGCTATGTCTGGTTTAATGCTCTGAATAAATAAAGCGACTTTTTTACTGGATCCAGAAGAATGTGCAAACCCTTTTTCTACTATCTCTACAGATGAGCCTTCATATTTTCAGTGAAATAGTATGGCTGACCCAATGAGCTGTGATCAGATATTACACTACTCCATCTATGATTAAAGGAATCATTACTTTGCTTTACATATATTGTATATGCTATCTATTTGAATGTACATACTAAACAATGCTTGTTGTGCTTGTCACCAGTGTCACCCACAACTGTCTTCATATTTTAAAGGCAAATGAACTGTAAGAACCAAGCTACACTATGTTTGTGTGTTATCTATCTATCTATCTATCTAATATCTATCGTTTCAGAATGTATGCTTATGTATCAGTGCAAAATGTATTACTTCTAGGAAAAAATGTATCCATTAGTTAACATGGATGTAACGCATATCAATAACATAAATAAGCCATAACACAAAGAAACAAGAACAAGACAACTACACATTTAAAACATGCATGTGGGGAACCTCTCCTTGTGCACTACATGTCAAATAATGAACAAGCTATGATAGCATGTATTAGCTGTACAATAAACAGAGGTACAGTATTGCCTATGAAGAATTAGGAATTATGACCTTGCAGAAGCTAGAATCGAGTGTGTGTGCTGCTTTTCCAAGTATTCAGCAACATCTGACTGTTCTGCTTCAGCAAAAGCATAGCTGCCTTTGATTAACTGCTGACGTCATGAAGGTGTCGATTGGCAACCGTTGTGACTCAGGGAGATGTGTCCTCTTGGATGTCCGAGCCAGCTATTTAACTGTCCTCCTCACTTTCAAGTTCAAAGTGGCTTTGTGTAAGCAGCAGCACTTTCACAGCCAGACAGTGAAAATAGACTGTCAATGAGACTTGAAGAATGAGAGCAACGTGAGCCTCTGAATAAGCAGAGAATTGTTACAGTAGACATCAGTATACATGGTAAGGGAAATGTGCATGTTGCTTGACATGACTGCTGCCGTATTATCATCTGCTGCAAAAAGACATTGTACAAATGGGTCTTGCCCTTGTTCAGACGGTTACCCTTCTCTGCAGAAAACCTACAGGACACATCAGTTTCATGGATAATCAAAGACATTATTTTCTCTGGGATGCAAAGAATATTTTACTTTTAATTGTAGTTATTAGTCTTATAGAGCTTGGCATATGCTGTCCAAAGGAGTGTACTTGTGAACACCTTTTAGTGAACTGCACTGACAGACAGCTTGAAGTATTCCCCACTGGAATCCCAATGGATACCAGACAGCTGATCCTAACGCATAACAATCTAACGTATCTGCCATCAGTGGATCTCAATCTTCTGATTGATCTAGTGTATCTGGACTGCAGCCACAATATTCTGGGAAATTCCTTGGAAGCCACCTTTATTGCTATGTCATTGGTTTATCTGGACCTGAGTCACAATAATATCACCAAGATCACTTCTGCCACTTTCTACCTTTTGACAAGTTTAGTTGTTTTGAAGTTATCAGACAATCCTAACTTGGAGGAGATTGAGAAGGATGCATTTGCCAACAATACAGGCCTTCGGCAGCTGGATCTCAGTCGCACAGCACTGACCTATCTGGATGTCACTACAGTTAGTGAATTGCCGAGTCTACGAACACTAGGCCTTAGCTCAAACCCCTGGGACTGTTACTGCCCTTTGAAGGAATTCCTTAAGTGGGTAATGGAGAGTGATATTTACTTTACAGGTGAGAAGGTGAATAAGGTGAACATGTGACACTGTTTAGCCAACAGATAAAAGACAGAAAGAGAAAAAAATCATGTCTGTCTACTAACAACACAAAAACAAAAAGGGTTGTCAGGTTTGTCATTCCAAAATAAGGCACTGAGGTGTGCGGCTGTTTGAAGGGGTTGAAGTATGCAGTGTTGTTGTACCTTTAATCAAACTTTTTTTGAATTTGTATGTTTCTATTTGGGACTTGGACTTATAGCCCCATCTGAATGTATTCTACTTATCTATCAATAGCTATATGTTACATTTGTAGTTCTGCTAGACAGATTGAGAACGATTGAGGACATGCTTCTTCAGTTCTGCACACTGGTAGCAATTGTTTTTAAACTATTTTTGTGCATTATTTATAATGGATTATAGCTGATTGCATTACTTATAGCTGATTGTGATGTATTTGTACCCGTATAAATGATAATATATTGATGAAGGTCCCTGCTTGGGGATGAACCTACTTGCTTTTAGAATATTTAACAAAATAGAATGTGTTTTCATGTCATGATTGGCATATACCTCTTGAGCTGCCAGCAAATAGTATTACTTTCTACTTTAAATTACACAGATTTTTGTGCTTCAACTTGGCTAGTGGTCTGCCAAAATTTCAGACAGCCAATAGTGAAAGTGGTGACAATGGGACACTCAGAGGGAAATTAATTGAAGGGAAGTTTCCCTACGTGGAGAGAAATACCCTATATTTAGACTGAGGTTGTATGTTTTGCATTAAATTGATAAAAGTGGTGCATGACACTTCATTGATATGTCGCATGAAATAGAAATATTTCCTCCTTCAGTGCTGCTCCTATGTAAGTCGCTCCAATTCCCTGTCAACTCTCTGTGACAGTCCAAGCTTATGCATAGCCGTCGCTCCTCCTCCAGTTTATACATATAATGAATGCTTACCTTAAAGAAGAACTCCTGGCAAAACTTGTATTGACCTTTGCAGTGTGGCTATCCCTGCCATGCAATGGTTAACTGTCTATAATTATATACAGGTGAAACTCGAATAATTAGAATATCGTGCAAAAGTAATTGCATTAAGTGCTGCAAAAGGGGCCCAAACCAAGTACTGAGTACATATGCATGCTTGTACTTTTCAGAGGTCCGATATTGTTCTATGTACAATCCTTGTTTTATTGATTGCATGTAATAATCTACTTTTTTGGAGGTTGTGGATTTGGGGTTCTTGGGGTTTTCATGAGCTGTAAGCCATAATCATCACAATTATGACAAATCACGGCTTGAATTATCTTGCTTTGCATGTAATGAGTCTATCTCATATATTAGTTTCACCTTTTAAGTTACATTAGTGAAATAAATGAACTTTGCACGATATTCTAATTATTCGAGTTTCACCTGTATGTATTATATACATTTTAAAATGGAGAAAGCGGCCTTTGTCAAATGGAGAAGCCCAGTGCTTTCTCCATGTTGCACAACATCCTAGGAATAGTGCAGGACAGCTCCTCTATTACACGAATATGTCCAGGCCAAGCCAGTTCACCTACTCATGTACCATTATCACGTTGCTTGCCAACCCTGTCCCTACCTGCTAACCAGAGCACAGCTATTACAAGATGTAGCTTGCACACCAGTGCGTGCATTTGGGCACAGAGGCTGTCAGTTAATAGACTTTATGTATCCCATATATGAAGAACTGGAAGTATCATCCAATGTGGGGTGGTTGGCAGCCTGAACCACATTTGCCAAATGTCCTAGATTTGCCGGGAAATTCATGCATTGTATGTCCAGTTTTAGTCCTTGTTACATAAACGGGTCTAATAAGGCTGTAAGCACCAAATACTCTTTACATGTTTTTTTCTGGATGCACAAGTGACTTCTAGTTTAAGCATGAACCTGTAAATTCATAACGGTCAAATGATTGTAGATCTTTAGGGAGCACAGTGGCAGCACCAATGTTGAGACAAAACTAATATATGTAAATAATAATTTTACGTTGCACTATAGTAGAATAGTAAAAGTTAATGCCCTGGAGCCTGGGTGTTATACACCAGAAAGGCCTAGAACAGATCAAATCAAAATCACTATGATCAATGGCATGAGTATTAGGATACATGAGGTAAAGCAGCAGGGTATTACACCCTCCTATACCTTCATTCTAATTTTTACTTTATATTCCTTATATCCCTATTGTGAACCCTTCATCCTCTTCAAGCAGAGTTGTGTAATCTTTTGTTCTTATTGTTCTTTCCCACCATCACCTTGCCTAAAGGTAAAAGATAGTCTATTAGTATTTTCTTCTCTTCTGGTACTACCAAGCCCACAATGCTGCTATGAGCGGTAGAGGGGGATCTGGTGGGGAACAAGAAAAGATGAGTTAGTTCTCCTGTCTTGCCAGCACATTTGCAGTAGTTCGGCAGCTGCCAGGGCTTCACCTACCCCACCGACAACTGTGTACAGTGATACATCTCAAAAGCTGTGTAGGGACTGGTCACATCTTCCTATTAGGTAGCGGCACAGACAGAGCACAGCTGTAGCAGAGGCAGATGCTGTAGCGAAACCTTTGATAGAAGAACACTAAGAGCTCAGGATGGTCGGAAAAGTAATAGCCAAAGCCAGAATGTGTGTTTAGTGCATGTGTTTATTGTGTGCGGTTAGTGTATGTGTCTTATGTGTGTTTATTGTGTGTATGTGTGTCTAGTCTAGGCGAGTGTTTAGTGCATGTGTACAATACAATCCTTTTCTTCCAACTATATATTTTAATAGGTAAAAAGAGATATCAAAAACATATGTACATTATGGGGGTTATTCACAAAGCTGCCGAGGGCAGCCGTGTGAATAACCGACCCGAAGTGAAGTGAGCCGAACTCTGTTCGGCTATTCACTTCAGGCTTGCTGATTTCAGCCATATACCGACTGAAATCAGCCGTCCATCGGCTTGCTGCAGCTGGGTTCAGGTTGGCCGAACATGCTCAGCATGCTCGGCCGACCCGAAGTGCAGAAGGAGTTCGACTCAGCCGATCCAACATCTGGATCGGCTGAGCCGAACCTCCGGCAGGCTACTTGCTGCTGTTCGGCCTATTCTCATAGGGGCCGAACAGCAGTGAGTGAATAGCCGAATGCCGCCGAGCTATTCTGCTATTCCCGGCTATTCTGCTTGGTACCTCTGTGGTCCCGAGCAGAATAGAAAAACAGTTTAAAAAAGAAGAAAACAAATAGAAAACAATTAGCAGAGCTGGAGGTGATATGAAAGCCGACTCTGCTGAGTTCTCATGGTACTGGCACATCAGCGTCCAAGGACGCTGATCTGTCTCTACAAGTGGCCGGAGCCAGCCTTGAGATGACGGCTGGCTCCGCCCAGCTGTCAGTAGCAGGCAGCCGGCCAGCCAATGGCCGGCCAGCTTCGCCTTTCACCTCGGCTCAGTCGAGCCGAGGCATATGCCAACTTCGGGAGCTGTAGGGGCTATAGTGAATAGCCCGTACAGCAGCCCTTCAGTTCTACAGAACCGAAGGGGTCCTGGGGCCGAAGCTTGTGAATAACCCCCTATGTCTTTTTCAGTTATGGTTGTACAACTGGCATAAGAAACACAAAGCAAAAAAAAGTACAGAATTTCAGGAATCACACTCTGAAATCTCACAGTCTAAATTGTAAATTTGCTATGGAGTGCAAAGGGCCTACTGGTATTCAGCAAAGTCGCTAGGGCTTGAGCATCTGGGGTATGTGCCCTGGTTTTACACTATATTTTTGTCCCCTGCTAAAGGTGCCATACAATTCTTCATGGAAAATGCATAGGCAAAGTTTTATAAACATAATGAAAATATATGTTCTGAAGAAGGGGGCATGCCCCCAGAAATGCGTTAACACAGGCAAAGTGTGCAGCTAATGGATCTGTCATCCATCTGCAGCTTTTACATGCTGTGCCTAGTTTGGTTAAGACTGAGGACTATCTTCTGACTTTGGAGGCGTATTGTCATTTGTCTATTGTGAGTATTACTCTTTCTTTTGCATTTGCTCAATAAAAATCCTCTACACTAGGAAAGGCACCCCTGTTTGTTTTTATGTTTTGAGTGGTGAGTGGTTAGAACCTATTTTTTTGTCTGTGTCCCTGCTAAAGACAGTGACCCGCTCTGTCTATCCTGGTGACCACCCTCATCAGACTAAAAGAAAATCCAACATGTTTCAGTTGTCATCAGAACAGCTCTAGATGGGAAATCTTCCAATGAGCACCTACTAGGGTGAAAAATGTCTGAGGGGATTTATCTCACTTTCTGTTGTGTCTACTGGACAGGATGTGAAGGGTAATTACTACAATGGGACACCTTTAGAGATGTTTTTCTTTTAGAAAGTTTGTACACAAGGGCAACGCCAAGGCAATTAGGAAAGCAAAGGACAGAAGATAGAGACAGGTCTATGTGGAAAGTTAAGGCGTAAGAGTTCAATGATGGGACACCATATACAGTATTACAGCCCCTCATATTTCCTATTTTCAAGCCAAATTTAAAAAGCTTCTATTTTATATCACAGCAAATAAATGTGCTGTGTAACTGCCAAGTGTGTTTTTATCCTTATGCCAGAGCCCACCCTGTAAATCATTGTTTTCATTAATTTCAAACACTGCTAAAGGGAAGAATGTATTGCTGGGATCTGTAGTCCTCTATAGATGGGGCATTCTGCATTGCTGTATAATGTATTGCTGGATTTGTAGTCCTCTATAGCTGGTGGTATTATTCTGCATTGCTGTATAATGTATTGCTGGGATTTAGAGTCCTTCTACAGCTTGGAGTCAGTGCCAGAACTACCAGGGTTGTAACGGTTGCACCTGCAACTGGGCCCTGGTTCTTCACCACTGTCCTTAAATCATTAGTCTGTATGGTTTTAGAGAAACTGTCACATGACACTAAAAAAAGGTATCAGTAATTGGTATCAGTGAGTACTTGAGGAAAAGTATCAGTACTTGTACTCGGTCTGGAAAAATGGTATCAGTTCATCCTTAATATATATGTATGATAAAAGTGTGTGACTGTGGACA